AAACCCTAAAACCCCTAAACCCTAAACCCTAAGCCTGAACCAAAGGCCTGGTGGGAGGAGCAGGTGCTCCCGGAGATCGAGCGCGAGCGGTGTCTTGCGCTGAGTGGTGGCGCCTAGGTGCCCGGGCGGAGGACAGGGAGGGGGAGGGGTTGTTGTGGGTTTAGGGTTTAGGGTATTATGGGTTTAGGGTGTAATTTTCATAGGGCTTAAGCTTTCATGTAGGAACCTGATTAAGAAACCCTGGGTCTTTATCAGGGTTAGTTCTTTATATGAATCCTACTTTTTCGGGGTTATACGGCCTGGGTTTCTTAATCAGGTTCCTACATTAGGGTTTAAAAATTAGTTTAGGGTTCGGGGTTGGGGATGGCGGGAAGAAGCGCGGCCGTGCATGATTATACTCCGCGTGAAAGGTTTCCCTGAGTTCGTTTTCGCCCTCCCTACACTTCTTGGGCACCCGTGGCAAGAGTTGGTGCTTGCAGAGAGTTTGCCGGGAGCGGCAGTATAAGCCTTGGTTTCAAGGAGTGTCAGAGAATGTCTGGCTTGCACATGGCCCGTGGCTTGAAGTCATTGTTTAGGGCCTTGAACGTGTTCCGGCGCCGTAGGCGAGTGTCTGTTTAGGGTTTAGGGTTGAGGTTGCTCAGGAGATCGAACATTGCCCAGTGCTTTCCGGCAGCTTATCCAACGATGATTGACTGACCACCTTAAAGCTAAACCCTAAACCCTAAACCCTGAACCCTGAACCCTAAACCCTAAACCCTGAACCCTAAACCCTAAACCCTGAACCCTAAACCCTAAACCCTCGTCGACAAGATCAAGCATGTGAAGCCCGGAGCCACGGTTCCAGGAGCTGGCCAGGTCCTTGTGCTTCTTGCCCTGAGCGACATGACATGGATTCTTAACCCTAAACCCCTAAGACCCTAAAGCCCTAAAGCCCTAAATCTTGCGGCTTTGGGCAAGGAGTCTTAGATCATCCTGGCAGAGGTGCCAGAAGGTTTGTTTGACAAGTGACACACGTCATCGAAATCCCTTCAAAGTCCGTTTCACTGGTGTCACCACATTTCCCAAGTCATTTGGGACATCCGCTGTTGCCTTCTGCGCACGGTGCTCGAGGAACATCGACTTCAGACCAATTCTCAGTGATGTGTGTTCACAGTGTTCAGGCAGATGCTGTTCCATCTAAATGTAGCTGCAACCAAACACAGAGCACTACTCCAATTATGCAACAACGTCTCTTGGTATGGTTGTCCAGGGCACTGGCATTTGCAAGGAGGCATGCGCCTTTAAAGAGCTTCGAGTCAAGCTACGTTCGATTCTCGCAGCCAGGTCCGTGATTGTCTTCGTGTGATGTGTGCAAAGCTACTTTCACTTTCCATTCCTGGGCGGTGTTACACTTGTCACAGAAAAGCAGCTTGCGGTACCCTTCTCAGACAGCTGTCAACAGTCTGGCGTGTGGTTGCATCACCGTTTCGATCATCGATCTTGAGTTCCGAAGGTTGCCGGGTTCCCGGTGTCCAGTCGCCATCGGACCGTGCTTGGCGAGGGCATCAGTGTGCATGCCCAGCAGTGCACCGAACTCCGAGACAAGCCTCACATAGCCTGACTCCTAAACCCTAAACCCTAAACCCCTAAACCCTAAACCCTTAAACTCTAAACCCCTGAACCCTAAACCCCAAACCCCTAAATCCAAAACCCTAAACCAAAGGATTTCTTCAACGGTTCCTCAAAGCCGGCTTTTGGAGTTCTTTGGGCAAATCCTAAACCCTAAACCCAAAGTCCTAAACCCTAAACCCAAAGCCCTAAACCCTCAAATCCGGCTTTTGGAGTTCTTTGCGGCCCTCTGGAGCTGCCAAGAAGCTGTCGTCACTCCATCCCCAAGGGATGTCTCGGACCTCGTCGGCTTGGTCTGCACCTTAGGATTTGGGGTTTAGGGTTTTTGGGGGGTTGAGGATTCCTTAAAGGGAACTATAAGGGTTCTATCTAGGGACCAATAAGGGTTCTTTAGGGTTTAGGAGTTTAGGGGTTTAGAGGCTTCAGGGGTTTTAGGGGTTTCGGGGTTTAGGGTTTAGGGTTTAGGGGGCTTAGGGTTAGGGGTTTTGGGTTTAGGGGTTTAGGGGCTTCAGGGGTTTTAGGGTTTTGGGTTTCGGGGTTTAGGGTTTTTGGGCTTAGGGTTAGGGGTTTTGGGTTTAGGGGTTTAGGGGTTTAGGGGTTTAGGGGTTTCGGGTTCAGGCTGTTGTGGTTTGACGCCTGGAAGCCGGATCTTCGGTGTTTCCTGTTTGGATTTCGCAAGCAGGGTTTAGGGTTTAAGGCAGCAGGGTGATAGATCGGTTACGGCATGGACTGCAGTTGATGATACAAATCCTGCATTACCCATAACCCATAATGAGGAATATACCATAGTTCCCATAGTTTAGGGTCAACAGTAGGTGCAGGCGGAGGGGGTCCGGTGTTCAGATCCTCCACTGGGGTTACCCCAGTGGTCGACTTCCTCTGGCTCCCACACGACTCTTCGCAGGACGAGTTCGGACAACCTAAAGCTTAAAGCCCAGAGCCCTGAGATCTTAACCGCTAAACCATACAACCGTAAATAGCTGAACCCGAAAGTCTTCCTTCTGGGAGCCAGTGCAGCTCTTGACGGCATGGCTCCTGCACAAAAGGAAGTCGTCTTTGCCCGACTTTGCTGCACACTCTGTCGTCTCTGTATGACCTCAATACTCCTAGCTCCAAAGTTCTAAACCCTGAACCCGAAATCCTGAATCCTGAACCCTAAACCCATAAATTAAACCCTAGAAGCCCTAAAACGCTGAATCCTAAACCTTAAACCCTACTACTCTGAAGAGGGTTTCACGTCGAGGAGATATCGCAAGGTGCTTCTTCAGCTAGCTTTAGGAGTCAGGGTTTTATAGGGTTTAGGACTTCTGGGATGCAGGGTTCAGGGTTTAGGGTAGAGGGATGTTTAGGGTTTAGGCTAGGGTTTAGGATTGGGGTTTAGGGAGAAGTCATTCAGTTTCCCCAAAGGTCCAAACCAGCACTTTGCTTGCAGAATCAAGGCCTCCAGTGCTGAAGTCAGGAACCGTGTGGACATAACACTCTCCACACTCCCTTGGCTTCCTCTAACTTAAACCCTAAACCCTAAACCCTAAACCCTTGAGAGATGGCTAGGTTGGCTTCCTCTAACTTCGGGGTTTCTGTGCGGGCGTTATGCCATGTCAAGAGCCTCTTAGAGATGATTCCAAGCCAGTAGAGCACAGCTGTCGTCGACTCTGTACCATGTCTTCGATGCACGAAATGCTTCCCTAAACCCTGAACTAAGCCCCTAAACCCTAACCCCCTAAACCCTAAAGCCCTAGACTCTAAACTAAGCCCTAAACCCTAAACTAAACCCCTAAACCCTAAAGCCTAAACCCCTGTAAGTTTGTGAATGCCACTCACCAGAACCCGCAAAGAGACCCTCCGACCTCGCCACGGAAGATGGACCCGTGGTTCTTCCCTGGGCACTGGAAGCTTCTGGGTCAAGAAAGAGAGCCTTCAAGCCTGGATCGATAAAAAGAAGGGCCTTAATGTTTAGGGTTTTAGGGTTTAGGGTTAGGGTTTAGGATTTAATCATCACCTATACCTTTTTTTGTTGGGCGGGGGGTTCCTTTTTATAACTATAGTATAATGGACCACAAAACCCTATTCTGATCAATAAGACCCCTACATTACTCTCAAAGCTAACCCAGCCTCACCCCTCCACTTTCATAGTAAAATAAGGATGCAATGCACTACAGTCACGACAGCAGCCAGCAGTCCCATGGAATCGGATGCCACCTCGGTGGGGCCGGGTTTCGAGACTCTGGGGCTCTAAGTGCGTTGATAGATTTCAGGTTTAGGGTTCAGGGTTCTGCAAGCCGCGTCATGTTGCGCATGGCGCAATCACATGCGCTATCTGCTTCTGGGACCATGCTGTGCTGGAAGTTCGTGGTCTTGATAGCCGTGAGCTCAGTGGGGAGAGAGGCGGGGGAGAGGTCCAGATTACTCGAAGTTTGGGCATTGGAGTCAGGCTTGCGTGCCTGAATGGGACTTGTTGCATGACGGCGTGTTCCTTGCCCATGCAGTAGCCTACGAAAGGAATTTATGTTTGCTCACGACTCAAAGGTTGAGAGTGACGCCGGCATGCGCATTCACACTGCAGACTGCTGGTCGAGCCGGCCACAATACTAAACCCCTAAACCTCAAAACCCCTAAGCCCCAAACCCCTAGGCCTTTAGACCCCTAAACCCTATCAGCACTGTCGAGAATCCATCCATGACCGCCCGGTCTGCCGAGCCACACTCCGTTTTTTCCGCCGATTTGCCGCGGTTTGTTTGCCCCAGCGTTCTCTCTGCGTCGATGTGCTCTTTTTTGGGTAGTTTCCTAAATTAAGGTCCCCTTTAGGGTCGTGCTTATCTAGGTGGGGACCTAAAAAGGGACCCTAGTTTAGAGAACTACCCATGTTAATATGCTGACTTGATGACAACAGACACCATACTTGTTGATTCGACCATGATCAAAATGGCCATGAGCATACTCGAACAAATGCTGAGAACGGTTAGCACGAATCATCACTCTGACACTGGCGACAGCGAAACCACTTGGTACTGTCATCACTATCACTGTTGGAACTTTCCAGGCAGCTTCATGAACGAGGATCCCCATCTGTCGCCCATAATATAGGAACCTGTTTATGAGCCTTCGGTCGTTGCTAGGGTTCTTTATATGGATCTCAACATTTTGGCGGTAAAAGACCAGACCTCACCCGCACGCAGCCTCCTGTGCCTGATCCTGAAATATTTAAACCTGAGGATTTCGTACATCCAGAAGCAACTCATGTCGAACTAATCAACAATTTTGAGAAGTCTGCGGAAATCCTCGATGATTCGTGTCAGCTTGTCCAGCTCCGGGCTTATTCAGATCATTCCCTCCTGTTACTTCTGGCGCGGCGAGTGTGTGCTCATGTGTGCTATCAGGTCTGTCGAACAGGAATGGCAGCACTGACCACCACCGACGGTCCTTTCGATTGCGGTGATGAGCCGTACATGATGCACTCCGGGCTGCAACAGAAGAGTTGGGACTACTTCCGAAACAAGCGGACATGTAGCCACACTTTGCAAACTGAAGCCACATGGAAGTACATCCTAAGCCCTAAATCTGAACCATATGCCCAATAGGCTGCATAGCCCTCTCCACCCTGAACCGAAAAGCCGAAAGGCAGTCGAAGTGCATGCTAAGGCTGTTCCTCAACCCTACTGAGGGCTGAGTAGGTAACCTTCAACCTTTTGGTGCTTATATTATAACCCTACTATAATTTAACAGGTTAACCTTTTGTGGGCTAGGGTACTCAGCCCCTAAGCCCTAAACCCTAAACCCCAAGCCCCATCTCTGGCTCCCCAGGATGGAGGAAGTCCTTCACAACAACCTGGGCCACAAAGGTCCGCACCATGGCTCATTCGGAGGAGAGCCTTCGGCTCCCACGAGGTCTTTCGTGACTTAGGGTTTAGGGTTTAGGGGTTTTGGGTTTTGGGTTTTGGGGTTTAGGGTTTAGGGGTTTAGGGTTTTGGGTTTAGGGTTTAGGCAGGCAGATACCAGCTATACCCAACTAGACTAAACTATGCCGTACTATACTATATATACTGCACTTTTTTCTGTATTACACTACACTACCCTAGAGGGGCCCTCTGTGTAAAGACGTAGCCTGTGCTTTTGCTAATTCTGGGTGATCGCCTGAAAGAGGAGACAGTACTTGGAGGATCATGGGACTTAGTAAGTGATTTTGCAAATAAGGTAACTATTCCTATAAGCCCTTATAACTCCAACAGAGGCATTTATAACCTAATTATTTACCAAGTACCATAAATCCTCCAAGAAAAGCCGACTCTCTGCATGCTCGATTGAGCAGCTCAGGCGGCATCGTTACACAACCGCAAGCAGTATAGTCCCTCACCCTAAGGGTCCAAGTACCTAATAATCATATACTCTGCTGCCTACCAGCCTACAAAACTACTATCCCTAACCCAAGTACGTGATTATTAGGTCCTTTGGACCCTTAGGACCAGGTGTTTGAGCTTGGAAGCCTCCAGACCCTGGCCAGAACCCTTTCGCCACCAAGACCGCTGCTACCAGGGCTACCAGTATCCTAAGCATTCAAGATATCCTGATATGTAATGTCGGAACCTGATTTAGAAACCTTGGCCCTAGAACCCCGAATATTTTAGGGTTCCTGTTAAGAACCCTCATGAAGACCCAGGGTTCCTGTTAATCAGGCTCCTATATGTAGCACACCCGGACCTCGTCGCCTAAAGCACCAACCCAACCGCTCCAAAGCCTTCCTCCTCTTTGCAGTTGAAAAAGACCTAGTAGTAGAGTAGGTAACCTTCAACCTTTTTGGGGTCCAATAATCCCTATATAGTCCCAATATACCCCCGAAGGCTAACCTTTCAAGTAGGAAGAGAAACCTCAATCAAATTCCCAAGTCTTCAACCCCAAGACGCAAACACGACTATAGGAGCCTAAATCATTACCAATGCTCGTTTGGGGGGTTCCTTATTATGGCTAAAGTAGCACTTACCCCAAAACTCTATTGAAATTATGATGGCCCCTATACCCTAAACGCTTATAGTAGCCCTTATAGAACCCTTTACGGAACCCTTTAAAGAAACCCTATGAAACCCTATTGAAGTTATGATGGCTGCCACAGTAGTTCTCCATCTGCTTCTTTGCATTCAAGGCACCAGGGCTCCGAGGGCATCCTCTACAAGGCAGGGGCAGGGTTTCATGAACTCAGGGTTTAGGGTTCCTTTGTTTGTTGAAATCGGTTTAGGATTTAGGGTTTTTTTGAACTAGGTGTAGGATTTAGGGTTTTTTGACATAGGTTTAGGATTTAGGTTTTTTTTGACAGAGGTTTAGGATTTAGGGCTTTATTCTGAAATAGGTTCACCGACTCTGAAAATGCGCAGATTGCCGGGTACTGTACCTAGAACCTCTATATGCCTCAAAGCCATAGCTCATCGACCTACTAGGTAGATGTCTGTACTCTTAGGGCACATCATAAGGGCTATAGGGTTTTGAAATCCAAATGAACGGCGAGCCGTCCTTTCGTCCATGATACCGTAAGAGCGACACGGAGAAGGTCTCAAAGCTCATGCTAAACTCGTCACCTCGGGCTCTAGAAACGCATTTTCGGCTCATGACCTTAAATCACTGGGGTTTGAAACCTTCACTGCAAACATACAGGGGCCTAAATAGTTACCTAGACTATTTGGGGGGCTCCTTACTATAACTTTAAAACTATCGTATAATATACCGCAAAGCCATACTCTAACTATTAAGGCCCCTACATAAATTGTCATCAAGCTCTCGAAGATGCCAGAGGCTGTGGAGTACTACCGGAACCTGCACCGTGACGTGCAAGTCCATCTCCACACGGACACGCGGGATCGAGTTTTTTTTAGGCTTAGGTGTTCCCCGGGGTTTTTTAGTTTAGGGCTTAGGGTTCCCTGTTGGTTTCAAACGTCAATTTTAGGCCGGCCCTGGGCCCCCCGCATCTCCTGGACTGGATGTGCATTGCCCGAATTTCTGCATTCTTTTGTCCGCAGCATGACAAATGTCAAAAAGCTGCGTGTTCCAGTGCAGGAGCGAGTTGCAATAGACAGTAGAGACAGTGCCTAGAGGTCAAATTCTCACCATCGCCATCGTGATGTCCCTAACCTAAGCCCCAAAACCCTAAACCACCGAGATGCCCCAGATGGGCCCGGGAAGTTGTGGAAAACTCACCAGCATGCTCGCAGCAGAAATGGGACTTACAAATAAGGTGGCTGTAACGAAAATCCCTTATGATTCCAGTTAAGGTGCTTAAAACCCTTACTTACTAAGTCCCTTCATCCTCCCAAGTAGACTAAACGCTAAACCCTATAGATCCCTTTAAGGAGCCCTGTAAGGGACCTTACTTGCTAAGTCACATGATCCTCCCAAGTACCCATGAAGCCTTCAAGACACGAGCCGCCCCTGGAGCTTTGAATCTGGGTGGTCCCTTCTTAGGGTTTAGGGTTTAGGGTTCATAAGCGTGCCTACTTTGGGGGACCCATAAATGTGCACGACGAGCGTTGAGGGTGTGTGGATTTGTGGATTCGGGAGTCACGAGTCAAGAGCAGTTAATAAACTAAAGTCCAAAGTGCGGGACATACATATCTAGATGTTAGATAGATAGATAGATAGATAGATAGATATTAGATAGATAGATAGATAGATAGATAGATAGATCGATAGGTATACGGGCAGATAGACCTTAAATAGAAGTATAAGTAGATAAAGATTTTTACAGTGAGAGCAATGCGTATTCCATAAGTCGGGTGTGCCGCTCTCCGGAAGCCGCGACTGGAATGCAGACACTATGCCAGACCCGCAGGCGTAAAGCAACGACGTGTGAGACACGACTTGGGGCTAAGTGTCACAAACAGGGGGAAGCCGTCCTATCGACCCGAGCAAAACAGGACCGTATTAGCCATGATATGGCCTATACATACACGCCTGCAGGATTCGCTCTACAACCCCTGGAATGTTTTCGCCAATGGCCTGAACGGCCGCTTCGGCGTTTTCAACCAGTGCCTTGGATTATCTATATATATATATATACACCTTATAGAAGCCTTATAGAAGCCCTATATACCCTGAACTCCCCACCTGTAGTTTTCCTTTAAGTTTAGGGTTAAGGGGTTTAGGCCCCGATTCTTTCATCCTCCCTGCCTGCCCCGGAGACCTTTCAGCTCTTCAAGGGAAGCCACACTAGTAGGAACCCTGACGCCGAAATCCCAAAGCCTCAAAGCATAAGCCTTAATCCCTAAAGCCTAAACCCAAAACCCAAAACCCTAAACCCTAAACCCTAAAAGCCAAAACCCCCTTAATCCACAACGCCTTTAAGGCTTTAGGGGCCTTAACCCGGCCCCCATTACCCAGCACCCCAGACCCCGAGCCCCTGAAGCCCTTTCAGCCCTCATAAACTTGTTCTGACTCGTTGGAAGTTTTGAGGGTTTAGGGTTTAGGTGTTAGGTTTTAGGGTTTAGGGACTTTAGGTTTTAGGGTTTAGGCTTTAGGCTTTAGGGTTTAGGGACTTTCGGTTTTAGGTGTTAGGTTTTAGGTTTTAGGGTTTAGGGTTTAGGGACTTTTAACCCACAATAAACAACCCCAGAGACAAGCAAGTTCAGGAAACGGTTTCAGAAGCCACAAATACAGAGCCCTAGAACTTCTAGAACCCCAAACATACGAGAAAACCCCCTGGAACCCGCCATGGGAAGCCGTATGAACCCCAGCAACAACGTGAAACCCTATAACCGCCGTTAGAAACCGTATGAGCAAACCATAACCCTAAACCCTATAGGGCCAATAACAATGGAAGCCTCCAGCTCGACAACCCAAGCCAACGGAGACTTACCCGAGGCCCCTAAACCCTAAACCCTAAAGTCCCTAAAACCGCCAGACCCCAAACCCTAAAGGCCCAAAACCCTCAAACCCCAAAACCCCAAAACCCTAAACCCGAAACTGCAAGCCCGAGGTCCTCAACCCTAAGCCCTGAGCCCGAGACCCTAAGCCCCTTGCCCTCCCCCGAAAAAAAAATAGGTGGCATTTCAAACAAGCTTAAGCCCTGAACCACCCCAAGTCGTAAGCACCAAGCCCTAATTTCTTGGGGAAGAAAGACACCACCTTGTCAAGGACCTGTGTATACAGAAATCATGTTAGGGGCCCCAAAACGCTAGGTGAAATGCCCCAAACCTGAAAGCCCTTTATAGATCCCTCAGCCTCCAAGGAAGTCATAGGGGTACCCGATTATAGATCCCGAAAGTACCCCTTAAAAGGGGACCCTATCATCACCCTCGAGTACGACTTTAAAGGGGATCCCTTAAAGGGGACGCCCTGAACCCTAAACCCTAAAAGCCCTAATAAACCTTAAACCCTAAACCCTAAACCCTACCTAAAGTACCCCTTTACAGAACTGCTTCGGAGACCCTGCGCCAAGGCTCTCGGGGCATCCTTTGGATGTGACCTTCAGAGACTGAGCTGCGGGTTTCCGGGGTTCTGGGGGTTTGGGTTTTGGGTTTTACGTAAGGGTTTAGGGTTTCCGGGGTTTAGGGGTTTAGGGCTTCTGGGGTTTAGGGTTTAGGGATTCTGAGGTTTAGGGTTAGGGTTTCTGGGGTTTCTGAGGTTTCGGATTTAGTGGTTTTTGATTTGCGAGGGCATCCCATGTGCCATCTTCAAAATCATACTCCAGACTCCAGGACTCAGCCGCATTATGCACAGGCTCCATAGTAGTTCCTTTTTGGGATTACCTTATAGGATCCTAAATATAACCCCCAAAAAGGAACTACAATGGAGCCTATGGATATGCATGCAAGTTGACGCAGGCAGCTGGAGTCTGGAGCCGGTTACGCATGTGAAACACTAGCTGATTCTTGGTTCTCCAATACCCAACCTTTGAACTTTTTGGGTTCTTAGAATTTAGTAGTGCTCTGAAAGTTTAACCTTTTGGGGCTTATACAATCCTACTATAAATGAAAAGGTTAACCTTTTTTGGGGCTAGGGCACTCAGCCCCTAAGAAAAACACCCTCATGTTTCACTACAAGTTTTGGGGCTCCAGACTGATGGGTTTTGCAGAGGAGTCAGCGAAGCAAACAGCCTAAACCCTAAACCCTTAACCCTAAACCCTAAACCCTAATACCCTAAACCCTAAACCCTAAAACCCTAAACCCTAAACCAGCCGAGGGTTCACCGACTTGACCGGCAAACCGCTGATCCTCAAGTCGCTCAGCCTTTCCATCTACGACATGGACAGGCCCCCAAATTTAAAGCGCGGTTTAGGGTTTAGGGTTTAGGGTTGGCCCCAAATTTAAAGCGTGCCTTTGGAAGTCGGACTCCTTGCGCTAAGCGTTTTGGGTTTGGTGGCTACCAAGCGTGCTTCCCAGGAAGTACTGTTGATGATATAAATCCTGCATTACAATTAAGGACCCTAAAGTATGGGAATTATGGTATATTCCTTATTGTGGGTAATGCAGGATTTATATCATCAACCGTAAGACAAATGCTCAACAAAGCTGACAAAATCCATAAACCCACAAAGCCAAAGGGCGACTTCCCCTGAACACTAAACCCTAAACGCCTTCACCCTAAACCCCTAAACCCTAAATCCAACCCGTCGAGCCGCTGTCTTCCAAGTAGTGTTGCCCTTCGATCCCTCCCTGGCCGCTTCGGAGATACACCCATAGGCTCCTTAGTAGTTCCTTTTTGGGATTACCTTGTAGGATCCTAAATATAAACCCCCAAAACGGAACTACAATGGAGCCTATGGGTAGTTTATGCAGCTTCAGGTGAAGGGAAGTAGGAGTTGCAGTCGGGGATCTTGAGGAACGCAGCGTCCATTAGGGGTGAGGCCCCGTTATGGATGTCTTTAAATGTCTTTAAACCACATGGGTGAAACTACATCCGCATGCCGCAGGGCCTACATTGCGGTACCAAGCTCCATAAATCCTGCCAAAACTGTGACTGCAGCCCTACAAGCGATAAAATCCACCAATGTAGGGCTCTGGAAGCCGAGTTTAAGTCCTTTCACCGCCTTGTCAGGGATCAGAATCCCGGTGAAGGCTCGGCCGGGTTGCTTCAAAGCTCTTGCGCACACATCCATACACACCCCCGCCCCTCCCGCCCTTCCTCCCTCCCTCCCTCCATGTATGTGTCCACCTGTAAATCCAGATATCCATATCTGCGCACGTCCATCCTTCCATACCCGCACGCATCCATCCATCCATCCATCCATCCATCCATCCCTCCGTCCATCCATCCATCCATCCATCCCTCCATCCTCCCACCCCTGCATCCATGCATCCATGCATGCACATGTAGACGTTATCCTTGATAGTCCTTGCATCTCTTGTGTTTCCTGTACTGGTTTCAGCACTACCACTGCCTCTGTTCTTGTTCAGTTACAACAATAATCAGTTTTGCAGAGAGTTTCAACTGCCATTGTGCATCCAGGTGCGCAAAGCTGCACGGAACGGGCAGGGATTCTGGTGCTTTCCAGTTTGGAGCAGCTTCCTGTAATTTCGATGAAGAGCTGCTGATGCTTTGCGGAGAATAGTCTCAGGCTTACACCACGTTCTCCACCATGATATAATAGAAGTCTTATATAGATCCTGAACATGAGGCCGTGTTCCGCCGCCGTCCCAAAGCCGTGAAAACTGTCACAGGCGTTGAAAACGTGACGCCTGTGACGACAGTCCACCGGGTCCCCTGTCCTCCAGTACGGCCATGGGCGGCTGCAGTGAGTGGGTTGTGAGTCCAGGAAGATTTAGGATGGTTTAGGGCTTCCAGGGTTTAGGGTTTAGGGGGGTTTAGGGCTTTTCTTTTTAGGGGTTCAGGGCTTTGGGTTTAGGGTTCAGAATTAAGGGGTTTTGGGCGTGGGGTCGTTTGGCAATTCGAGTCTGTTTGGGGCTTCCGGTGTAGACTTTGCCGTCGGGTGTTTGGCTAAGCGTCAAAACTAACATACTTTTCATGCAGCGGTTCTGGGGTTGGCAGACTTGACACTTGGGCACTGAGGGATCTAGGATGAGTATTCTGATCCCGTCTGGCGAATCGAGCAGATGCACTTCGGGCTTTTTTGGAGTCCATTCCCAAGGCTGCACGAGCCGCGATGCAGAAGCCAGTCGTTCAGGGCTCATGATACCCAAAACCCTAAACCCTATGATTGAGGTTTGGGGATGTACATGAGTATTGCCGTCACACTCGAATCTGAATCCTCTTCTAAGCTCCTGGACATGGGTTTAGGGCTTGGGATGGTTTAGGGATGAGGGTTTAGGATGGGTTTAGGGTCTAGTATTACTCCCAAGCCTCAACTTATGTGATGACTGAACGGCACCAAGGTCTATCGAACCAGCGATACTCTGGTCCAGGCTATGCTTTAGCGGGGACGCGGTTTTAGGGTTTAGTATTGACTTCGGTGTTTCGGCACTGCTGTTAAGTGATTCAGGTCGGTCTTATGGTATACGGTATACATGTGTTGTGTTTCTTGAGCTTGATGTGGTATAGCAAGTTGACATTGACGGGGAGGGCACGGCATGAATTTCGTTTTCTTGCTGCTGTGACACCCCTTGGAGCCAGCATGCCGTACTGAAGACACTATCACCGGCACTTCAAATAGGAAACAGCTAGTCTAGTCTTATCTCAACAGTGGGAAACATAAAGAGACTTAGCATAGCTCCGTGGAATCGCAGATCTACGAGGAGACCAGCCAGATATTCCTTAGGCTTTCCGGGCCTTCGTTTCCCGGTCTCTACACCCAAAGCCCTAAACCCTAAATCCTAAACTTTCCTAAACGTAAGACGAAGTCTTACTGGGATGGCAAGGGCAGGTCGAGAACGTCTGAGTTAAGGACGTGAGGCTTGTGACCTAAACAAAAAGGGGCCTGAATGATTAGGCTAATATAGGGGCCTTAATAGGGTTTGGGTTTAGGGTTTAGGTAGTAATTACCTATACTCTTTTTGGGGGTTCCTTGTTGTGACTACAGTACAACGAAGCCCAAAACCCTATTCTAGTTATGACGGCCCCTACATTAGGTCGTCGTGCATCTTGCCGAATCTTGCCCTGGCCTCACTGGACCAATGTGAAAGTGAGAATTTCGTTCGCTCTAACTCAAGCTTTGAACTCGCGGGGGCCTCCGCATTTAACTTCAACATGAGTTTCTTCATAAGAGTTTTTGGTTTCGGATTTTAGGGTTTGGCGCTTTCGGAATTGAATAGGGTTTCAGTGCAGAGTCAGGGAGTAGATGGTTTCGGGGTTTAGGGCTTCCGCATCCAGGAGAACTCGGGTAGTTACCTCGGCACCGTGCCCGGAACCTACGACGACAACCCTGTGCAGGCAGCAGGGGTCCAACAGAACAATGCATCCCAGGGATCCCAAGACCTTGCTTCAGAAATTTTGCCGCGCCTGTTTTTTGCTGGCTCCTGATATGAAGGGTTTCTGTTATTTGGGATTCTATAGTCTTAGCATCTTTCTGACACACACAAGTTGGGTCACACCGGATTTATACTTTAGCCCCCTTCCCCGTCAATTAAACAGAGTGGCTGGGGTTGTCCTATGTTGGTTTCTTCCATAAAGAACCCCCCCCCCCCGACAGCCTCGCTTCACCTGTCCATGGCTCGACCTCTGAGACTGCCACGCCCCGCCACAGACCCCGTCGCAGGGCCCTGCTTACCCGGTTACCCTTGTGGTAGGCCGTGTTCCAAGGCCCTGTCCACCCCTGTCCACACAAGGTAGGTCAGCGGGTGGCCTGATCCACACCCCCCCCCCCCCCACCCCACACCCCAAGTAAATTTGGCGGGTTTCGGACTTGCTACTCAACACTCCTTCTCGGGTTTTGTAGGGCAACAAGGTTTTATGGTTTGGGGGGGGGTGGGGGGGGGTTGAGGGTTGAGGGTTGAGTTCAGGGTGTTAGGGGCTTCGGGTTGACGTGAGGGTTCTAAGGATTCGTTTGGGACTTTAAGTTTCCTGGGCTTAGGTGCTTTACGCTTTACCTACCTTTGGTTAGTAGGGAATGGAAGAATGGTAGTAATGGTACTTATAATAGTTCCCATTCCTCCATTCCCTACTAACCAAAGGTAAGTTTAGGGCCGAGGTGGGCAGTGTTCTTGCGGTGTGGCGGAATACCCCGAATCGTAGACCCCTGGAAATCTTCCCCTAAACCCCAAACCCTTTATAAACCCCAAACCCTAAACAAACCCTAAGCCCTAAACCCTAAACCCTGAACCCCCCAAACCGTCCCTCTACACCACTGGCCCGGATATTCTCTCAGGAGCATTGTTAGAATTGGCTGAGTTTCTTGGTTTTGTCTCCCTGCTGTAGACCTATATACTCAGCTCCACGTCGGGTCCCTTATTTTCTGGAACTCCCGCGCAGATAAGAGTGCGAAGGTCAGCTGGAGACTTGGCCATCTTCTATCAATCCTAAACCAAAACCGAGTCTATAGGGTCCCTTTGTTCGGTTCCTTTGAATAAGGGTTTAGGGTTTAGGGTGCCGTAGTATTCTGGGGACCTAGAAAAGGGAACCTAGCTTAGAGAATTTATTGCCCAACCCATGTCCTAAACCATTACTCGGTTACCTCAACCTTGCCGAAGACGGAGCTTACAATTTGCAGGTTGTGGCCCAGTCCAAGGCAGACGAGGACAAGTGCCCTGCTGCCTTACTTCAAATCTTTTGTTTGTAGCGGGGCACGAGCAGGTTGGGTGGGGTGGGGGCAGTGTGGTTTCGCGGTTGAACCGTCTGGATATGCTGTGTTGGGTCAGGGCACGTGGCCTCAGAGAATCTCAGCTGTGTCGTTGCCGCTTGCTTATGAGACGCAAGGAGCGTTGTCGTTGTTGTTGTTGTCGTCGTCGCTCCCAAACCCTAAAACCTCAACCTTAAGCCCTTAAGCCCCAAACCCCATACCCTGAAACCTAAGCCCACGCTCGAGCTGCAAATTCATGCAGAGATAGCTTGGAGCTCAAGTGCACATGCCATGGTAGTAATAATAATGTCATGGCAATAGTATTTAGAGAAATTGCCCCACCCATCAACAGAATTCGGAAGATAACCACTCCTCAAAAGGCAACGCGGCCCTCGTCTCATGATGATTCCTTCGGGACTCACTGAAGACTCCGGTGCAGACTTGCAGTGCCATGAAGCTCCACAGTTCTGATCCTGATGCCTGGGTGTGTTGAATTATCTTATAATAAGGTTACACTAGAGAAACCCTAGCACCATTCAAATACCTCTGCAAAAAATCCAGAGGGCTGTGCTAGACAGGTGAGATGGCAGCGCTTGTTCTAAGTCCCGCCTCACATGCTCTCAGGTGCCTGGTCCTTGAGTACAAGGATGTGCACACAGCCACTTGCATCCAGAATGTAGAAGTATAGCAATAAGCAGCGTGGAACCGACACCGTAGGAAGTCAAGCTATAAGGCTACAAGTACCAAAAAAATCCTATGATACCTCTAAGTCTGTTTAAAATGACGACTTACTCAAATCCCCCGACACTCCAAGAAGGCTTAGGGGGAACTCCATCCTTGCAACCGAAGGCCCTGGGATGCGAGAACTTGGTTTTGAGATACCATCGGAGGCAGTAGGGACATGTCGAAAAAGTTGCGTTGTCCATATTTTGGCAACTTACATTAGGTTTCTTGACGTAAACACAGAATCTCAGAAGTGCTGTGCATTTTTCCAATCGCGTGGTCGGGTAGGCGTGTCACGTCGTCAGCTTCCTGTGGATGCTGTCCAGGTTTCCCAAAGATGTATGTGGCACATGGCTCGGCCTCTCTTAGTGTTGAAGAAACCCTACATGCTAAGCCCGAAGCCTTTCACTCAATCGCCGGGCCATCCGCGTGGCAAGGTCCCCTTGCTAGACCCAGAAGCCTAGAAGGGAGCTCCAGAGCCAAACTCGGGGACTCGGCCTCTTTTCAAAAACGAGCATGAACCTGAAACGGGATCCCTACGACACAACTCCCTATTTAAAAAATCATGACACCTCGTTTTCAACATTTTTGAACCCCCTCACCTTAAACCCCTAAACCCCAAAGCCTGAAACCCTAAAACCCAAACCCCTAA